CAGATGTGATGTGACAGTCACAGTGCAGAGATTCAGAGAGAGAAGGGCAGAACATTGCAAGCTAACAATGTGCATCTCATTTATTGGAGCAAGTTAAAGAAAAGATGGCTGAGTAATCCTAGAGTCACAGAGCCATAGGGGGTTTCAGGTAATCCCTATATAAAAGCCAGGGAAAATATCTCCCTGTCAGTCATGTGAGAATAGTTCCCTAAGGTCTAATGCTTTATGGAGCAAAGGGAGAGAATGTAACTGATGGCAGGAAATTGTAAGATCAGGTCATACTCAATGACAAAAGACTCATTACGATCAGGATCCTCACATGCAGAGGATAACGCTTGGTATTCATGGTCCACTAATGAAGTCTATGTCAACATTAGACTACAAAGACAATTAAAAAGTGGTAAATTATGCTTCGTGTTTTTCTTAAAGCATCCCATATTGGGAAAAAGACATTGCACAATGTTGAACAAGGTCTGCATGCCAATTCAATGTAGACCCTTAGACTTAGATTTGCTACCTTCGGAAATATTTTCTATTTTGCAGGTATGTTCGTTAAGCTTTTTGTTTCAATTTGAAAGTAAGCATTTATTTTCTGTGTGTTCTTGCAACAGCAGCTTACATCTTGGGTTGCCAATGTCAGGATGAATTATAACTATTTTATTGATCCAGTGACCTTCCAATTACTTCTATCATCAGGTCAAAAGTTTTTTTTTCCAATACTTTGATTTATGATCAAAACTCCCTGCATGCCTAATAAAATTCCCATCAGCCTCAGCTGTAGCCCAATGTGTAGTACTAACAATCTAAATGTAGGATGCTCAGCAAATGTGCCAAAGTGGATAGTGAAGAGTTTAATTAATTTAATAGAGAGTAGCCAATCATTTGAGTCAGAATGAAAAGCATTGGAGCAACAGTTTGGCATTATTATATATATATTTTTTTATAAACTTTGTTTATGGATTTTTTAAACAGAGATGACAGAGCGATTGTGATTGACAGTGTCACATTACAGTTGTGCAGATCAACAACATTACAACAAGACAGACAAAAAAACAAACAAAGAAAAAAAACAATCGGCTTGGTCACACAACAAAACACAAACAAACACATAACCTCATTCTCTTAATGATGGTAATAGTACAAATACATTTAAAATGCTTCACATATACATATACGTATATATATATACATATCCATACATATATACATATCAAATAATAATAAAAAATAAAAAGATATATACACATACATATTCGGGTCTTATTCCGGAATATCCGGGAAGGTCATCCTACATTATTATTATATTTGTTATATTGAGTTGTTACGTTTTTGGCAGATTTTGTTGGAGAGATCGATGGTAGCTTTTTAAAAACACGGTTTCCACTCTTTTAGGCGCAGCTAAGCTAACTGACTGCTAGCGCTAACTTCATAATAAGGGGGGTCCCTCTCTCTATCACTATCAGAATAAGCAAAAATTCCCAAAACAGCTGCAGTTTAAAGCTTGATACCAGTTGTATCACATAACTTGGTATTTCCTTTGGTTAAAGAGTTATAATGTGTTTTTAATAATAGTATGTTTTGTATTAGATGGTATACATGCAAGTTATCCATAATACTTAGAGATTGAAAAAGCAGTGACAACAGCCTTACAAGTCTTGTTTAATTCAAAACCAAACACAAAAAGCAAACCATTGGCAGCACTGCTAAATAATGCATAGGGTTCTAAAATGAGAGATAGCTTCACTCAGGGACAAGCCACGGTAAGAGCACTTATAAATAATTATTGGGATCCTATCTTCTTTGTCTGATGTCATATGGTTCATCATGTATGCATTGTCTTTCTCACTCCTGCAACCATCACTTAGAAATGCAGCTTCTGTTTAATGACATTCAATCAATATCAATCATAAGACATGACAAACGGGAAATTACAAACTGCTCAGGGACCTTTTTTGTTGTTTTATGTGAACTTAGTAGTCAGTGAAAGGAAGCATGGAACACATTTTCTAGGGTAGATGTTGCATTCAGTTCCTGTATCCTGCAGTTGGCAACAACAATCAAAACGCCTGATTTAATACTGTAAAAAGGACAGAATGTTAATCTGAAATGAAAAGACTGATATGACACATAAGACAAGGTGTAAAGGTGTATGCCTTTGTTGCATGATTCCACTGTATAGTTTTTGTATTGGCTATTCTGAAGTCTACCCAATATTGATCTGAGTTTCTGATGCAATTCTCTTATCTCGGCATAACTTGGAAGCATTATTTTTATTTAAATGCGCGAACAGAGTTGTATACTCTGAGCTTTAGGGTTTCCAGATGACACTGGGCTCAGAAACACTGCATTAAGAGACTACATGGTGTAATACCTATTACTGAAAGATTTATTTATTTGTTTCCTTACAATAATGTTGACAAAGTGACAGAAATAAACATGAGGAAACCAGAACTATTGAACTGTGGCTTGAGCAAAACATTTCAGATATACCCTGCCTACAAAAGCATGCAGTTGCTATAGCTACAGTCTGGCAAACACAATCAAGGATCACTTTTACCCCCTCCTGAATTAATTAACAATACGAGCATATTCTAAAAAGTCTGGAGACAAAGATTGTATCTGAGCTAAATCAGGTGTAATGTTATGCATTCTCCATTTAAATGGCTCATAAATGCTCAAGTTTCTTTCACAACAATTACTGAAACAAATGGTTCTTTGAAGACTAAAATATAATGGTGTTCCTTTGTGATTCACTGAAATTCACCTTAGATAAAGCAAATTGTTAGAAAGAAAATCCATTCCTGAGAATGTATTTGGTAGTAGATATATTATACATGAATACATAGCCTGAGGCTGGCTAGCCTAACTGCTCTCTCAGGCATGTTTGGACTGTAAAACACAACATCAGTCACGCTTCATTTCCTCTTATCCATTTGACCTCCCAAATAATGGTCATCCCCAACAGTTCCCTTCTTATAGGGACAGTTCAGAGAAGCAGAGAAAGGCAGTTTCGACCAAGAATGAATGTCAAATGTTGTGTTTTCATGGCCACATTTGCTCAAAACAAAAGGTGCAATCAGACACACACACACGCACGCACACGCGCGCGCGCACACACACACACACACACACACACACACACACACACACACACACACACACACACACACACACGTTGAAGCCTGCTTCTTCAGTGTCTGTCATGTACAGGCGTTGCTGTGGCGCCACCTACTGCATCTGCATTGTATTACATCAGTTAGGGCGGACTCACCAAAACTGTTTCAACAAAGGCCTACCAATCTGCTACCAATCCGTGTATCTACGGACCATTAGTTTTTCTTTAATAAAAAAGTAAAGAAGAGCGTCTGAGAGGTGTTTTTGCTTTTTAGCTTACTAAATGGTCAAATGGACGGTCATTGGAGCGAGGGGCGGGGCGAAACTCGCGGAAGTGATTTCAAAACAAAAGCACTCGTTTCATAAAATACACCAATGAGGTATCAGCTCGCGCCTTCAGCTCTCTATCCTGCCTTGTAACATTTTGCTGTCCCTTTGATGAGTCACGGATTACACGGAGATACATACACGAATTCCTACCGAATGTAGATTTACACATACAACTAATCTAAAAATAACTTTAAGCTAAATGCTTGTCTTATTCTTTAATGTATACTAATCAGTTTCACCACTTTTCACCAAATGATTATATAGTCAGTCAAAGAGTTTTTGGTGACTTAATAATATTAAATGGGAGTTTGGCTGAGTTTTACTGTGTAGAAAGCCTCACTTATTTGAATAAATTATGTTGCATGTGTGTGAACAGCACAACATTAATAGTAGGCCTTTGCGTGTCTATCAAGCTGGAAACACACACAACAAACAGCTTTAGGAGTCCACAGACTGTAGGCCACAATGGATTAAAACAATCAAAAAATCTAAAAGACATGACAACTGATGGTGATAATGTTAACTTTGATCCTGACAAGGATGTCAGGATGGAGGATGGAGGAGGCTCCGTGTGTGTGTGTGTGTGTGTGTGTGTGTGTGTGTGTGTGTGTGTGTGTGTGTGTGTGTGTGTGTGTGTCTGAAACCAGAAGCGAGAATAATTGATTATATTGTTAATCTTTGGTTACTTTCAATTTCTATAAGAACACTTTTGGAAATAAGCTTATAAAAGAAACTGAAGCACAATTGAACAAAGTATTGAGTGTACTTCAACAATCTTTGTCAAGAAAATGTATATATTTATCCTTTTTTTTAAGGGAGAGAAGCTATTATTTACTACACTGCTAAATTCACAGTGAATGAAACTAACATCTAGAGTTTTAGTCATGATCATCAACATGGGCTTTGGGAAAACACAAACTATGCATTGGTATAATTAAACTTTTTTTGAATCCACAAAATCCATGTCAGCTGTCACGTTTCCGACCAGAAACACGTATCGCACGTAGGCCTAGACCTCCGAGCAGGGCAGTCCCTCCATACATGTCGATCACGCAGATCCCCCCAACCCCCCGTCGACGCTCGCGAAACAGCAGGGCCCCATAACTTTGCGTGGGGCCTCAAATTGGCCGGCCCTGCCTCCTATAGGCATACGTGCGATACGTGTCAGTCCCAGCAGCCGTAGGCAAGAATGGATCTTTTCACAGCTCTTTCATCATATCTGTTTTTTGTCCAAAAACGTGTCTTCTCATTGTTTCATGACACTCTGAAAACATGCGATGACAGCTCTGTCGAATTGATTGTTGAATGTCATATTTCGACAATGAAATAATATTATAAAAACAAAAAGCTATGAAGTTTGGTTGGGGGTCGGTCGCCTGCAGGGTCAGGGTGGGCCCTTGACTCATCAAAGGGACAACAACATGTTACCAGGCAGGGTAGAGAGCTGAAGGCGTGAGCTGATACCTCATTGGTTAAGAAATAAAGAGGGCGGAGACTCCCGGCTTGGGTATTTAAAGCTTTGTTCCATTGTTGCGAGTGTGTTTTCCATCTGATTCTCTCAGTAGGCAGGTCCCACCGGAGGAGGATACCACTGCACTTTTTTTTTGTAAAGATGTCTTTTTCTTGCAATCATTCCCTGGACGGCAGCTTTCGTCCTTCCCCAACGGAGAACAGGGGTTCAAAGCGGCTGTCCTGGGGCAGCCTGCTGCAGAGGCTGACTGAGCTGAAGGGGATCAGTCACAGGGTCCCAGCAGATCATGGCAGCAGGAATGTAACTGGTGAGTGCTGTAGCCTTTTGTCTTAGCAGGGTCCATTGTTTTTTTTGTATCCAAGGTGTATTTAAATGTTAGTTGACTTGTTAAAGAGAGAGCTTGAACTGACAAAGAACAAAAGGGTTAAAGAAAACGGATGCTTTTCATGATGACCTATTTTTTTTGTTAGTCCTGCTCATCTGTTTGCAACTCTTATCATATATATATATCAATATACCAATGACTGTATATAGACTATTCTGCACAGTTGCTATTATTTTCTGTTTATATTATTATATTTTATTTACTTGTAGCCTACTATTTGATCTGTTTTATTGTGTTGCACTGTTGAAGGAGCCTGTGACCTAAGATTTTCATTGTCCGAACTACACTGTAGCTATGCACATGACAATAAAAGCCTTGAAACCTTGAGCTATGAGATAAGATTTTAACTTTAATTATCTTTATTTCAGGTTCTGTGGCAGACTTGTCCCTGTCAGAATCGGAAAGCAGTTTCTTCTGTTACCCCCTGGAGGAGACACTGGCTACTGAGGTTGTAGCAACAATAGCACAAAGTCTCAACAAAGCCTCACACATCCTGGGCTACTCCAAACTGATCCTTCCAAACTGTCTACTGCTCAATATCAGCCAAGAGCTGCTGCACCTGGCTGTGAACGAACCCTGCGGGCTCAGGGGAGCGCTCATCGACCTGTGTGTGGACAGGGGGGACCCGGGCACAATATGCACCTTGGACCAAATAGCAGTGGATGCCACCCTGGTTTCAACCTTCCAAGTGACCCTTGTCCTGAGGCTGGAGTCCAGTGGATTGTGGCCGAAGGTTCAGAAGCTCTTCAAGGGAAACAGGTCACTACAGACATCTGGAAGGCACCAACGCTCTCTGAGGCTTAGTTCGAGTTTTAAGGCGATAAAGAGGAAATTGTATTGTTCAGGGGAGCTGCTGATTGAAGAGTGCTGCTGACTCAGCTGAATTGAATTCATGTGTACTGCGAAAGGATATTGGGTTAACCATTGCCTTTCTTAAAGGCATTATCCTATGGCTCTAACAAGGACTGTACTCGATTAGCATCAAACTGTCTTTGTATGTGTGTATCAAACTTTCCCAGGACCCAACTTATGTCTCATGGCAGCTATACTCACCTGATTGCAGGTGACTCAACAGTGAAGACTCATGTTCGAACATGGATCAACTACTTTCCTATGATTGTAAAGTCACAGTCGGGAGGGAATGACCTATGTATTTGATAGTCAAATATTACCTGAAATGTGCATTTGTTTTTATAACAACTTAAGAACATACAAAATAAATGATTTTCTATGATATCTGGTAAGCAATCGATGACTCCTCATAAAGCATGAGTGTGTGTGTGTGTGTTTGGAGCTGACCATTTGACCTTTCATCTCCCACCATCAACAGGTCAAAAGCTGTCCAATACTCATTAACAAATAACTGCAAAACTAGTCACATTCAAATCTACTTTGTGTTTCATGCTTATTAGCACATGCTAGCAAGCTAACACACTGTACTTCAATATTGAACATGGTAAACATTACACCTACTTAGTATTAGAATGTTAGCATTGTCACTGTTAGCATGATAGCATGCTGCCATTAGCCAAGGCTTGTTTTAAGGAAAAAAGAAGCTCAAGTCAATTATCGGACAAATTTAATTCAAATAAACTTTTATACAATATTAGCATGTTAATTTAATAAATATGGTTTACTTTTATTTGTGCAACAATTTCAATACTTATGATCCAACAGGCTACAAGCAAATCCACAAAATAACATTATAGTAAATGATATTAACTCCAATAAACCCTGCACTGTTAAAAGTAAAATGAATATTTACATTGGTTAAGAACTATAAAAATTACACACTTTCCTTGTGAGTGGCTCAGACATATGTCTATGAGAAGGCCATGAGGTTTCTCAAAATGTTTAAGGAAAACAACAAAGACTGGGACAGAGAAAGCTAATCTTAGCCGCTTTGTTTATCGTTCAAATAGACAACTATGCTCTCACTTTCCACCGTGACGCCCAGCGGACTCTCACCATCTTGAAGACACTAGAGTAAGAAAAATGTCAGCAGTCAACTCAAAGCTTCTCACAGTTCTACAGGAAGTCAATCTACACCAAGTTGCAGAGAGGTTCCCCGATGAGGTCTGCTGCCCACTGCATGTAAGGCATTTTTGATTCTCTTGGTTTGCTGCAGAAATATGCTCCAATTTCAGTAGGCTCAGACCGATTGCTTCTAAATTAGATTCAAGTACCGACAACCTGCAGAAAAAAAAGAATAGATGATAGTTATGCAGCAGTCACTCCACATGGGAGGAACTGTTGGATTCCTATACACGCACAGATGACCTCTACACAGATCACTCATTAACACCAACACTTGTGCAAAGCTCAGTATCAAAGGACAGCCACAAGAAGAAATTGAATATACCGACAATTATGCATGTTTTAGCCAATGAACAACTATCATTTCAAGCTTCTTATAGCTGTGCAACTTTTTTAAATTATACTATATGTGTTTCCTACATTGCAGGCAACCTTGGATTTTTGTTCTTGTCAGCATTTAAATCAACTAGCAGAGTCTTGCTAAAGATGGCTAATCACAGTGATCCATTAGTTGCTTTAATTGACGGCGTTTCTTTTTATTGCTCAAACGTCTGTCATCACTTGCAATTACCTGTTTGAAAAACTGTTTTGGTCGGTGCTGCAAAGTGCTTGTGGGGACTCCCCGACATCCGAGACAACATAGCTGACTCTTAAATATATCAGGTATCAGTCCCTGCTTGGAACTGCTTTACTATGTGTCAATATGGTGAGTGGTAACATCAATGTGGAAAGGTGGGAATCAATCCAGACACAGTAGTAAATGCACTGTAATGTCATTGTGGTGGTTGTGGCAACTTACCCATATGTGCACCCATGAGTGGTTTCTAGCCATCCAGTATAACCTGAATCTCAGATAGTCTGGAACAGCTTGGAGTCTCCATTTTCTGTGCCCTCTGGTACAACTCTGAATCTCCAAAGTAACGAGCGCGATACAGTAATCCTTCCTCTGAAAGAACAAGAGGAGAGTGTGTAAGTATGCTAGGTCTCTATCAACTATTCTTTAAATATCACATGTTAAGTAAATCCTTTGTTAACTTTAAACACAGTGGTATTTAATGTCACAAAAGTTCAAAATCATGGTGTTACACTATACAAATGCAGTACTGTTGAGTATCGGATCTGATTAGTATTAGACAAAAACATGTGCAGATTTATTTAATTATAAATCAAACATTTGTTGTGTTCAGCCCGACTTACTCTGCTGCTTCTCTTTCCAACAGTTGTTTCTGAGGTTGGAGATGTAGTCTTCTTCCACACTTTTCTCAACGTTCCTCAGATTTTTCCCAGAATATTCTTCGTTGAAGCGGTCTCCCACATAGAAAAGCACCTTCAGGTTCGATGTATGCCTTTTCTGAATATATCCAGCTGACCTGTTGTATAGAGGAGACATAATAACTATGAGTGAGACCAATGGGACATTTCCCACAGCATCAGAAAGCTCTGAGTGGAGAAACACTTACGGGCTGTATCTAAGGCTATAGGGAGGCTGCGTGACCATCATCTGGCTCAGAGCAGAAACAACAATGAGGATTAGGATGGGCATCATCTGGACAAACAGAGCCAGACCTCCCTGTCAAGAGAGAGAAAAAAACCTTCAATAACTGTTTTGCAAACACAGTGCATCAGCTGGTTTCAAATTCAAGTGGAATTAAAGGATTAGAGACGGGACTTACATCTCTCTGCTGTTCTCCTCGTCTTTCTTGCCTATTCTGGTGTGCAAAGTGCATTCTTCCATTCCTGTAAACGTGTACGTTACCTGTAAAGAAATAAAAAATAAAGATTGAAGTGCTACAACTGCTAGCCATTTGAAATTGAGGCACAATAATATCTAAATCCAATCATAGCAGCTGGGTTTCCTGATAATCATTACAAACTCAACAAAACAAAAAAGGGAAGTGTGACTGGGCTTACATGCAGAGTAACATTTTTACCAAGGTTGATCAAGGAAGCAAAACATTATTTGGTTATAGGCTCCAAATAGTGCAGACAATACAATACACTCTAGTGCGAAGCATGTAGAAATGCTACTACTGAGCTGTCCACTACATGCATGCATCTGTGAAACACATTAAAAGGTTTTGCTGTATGCTCCTACAGTAAAATACTAATGGTAGATAATGGCACTGTGACTAAGGTACTCTATTGTTGAATAAAGTCAGACATGTTTCTTTTAAAATCAAAATCAACAGATAAACATTAAAGACCAGTAAGAAAGGATATATAGATATATATATATATATATATATATACATAAGAATGCAATCACTAAAGATGGGATCTGTCTGTTCCTTTTGTTTGGCTTGTTGAAGAAGAAAGCAAAGGCAAGGCAAAAAATAAGGAGATTCACAAGGACAAACAGCCATTCAAACTGCTCTATCTCATTGACTCTCAGAGAATGGGTGCTGATAAGGGCTGAGTAAAGTCAGCAGGCAAAACCATCAGCCTTTACCTTTAAGTCAACGCTTAGGGTTATGCAAAACACAGTTAAGGATTAAGGCTTGCTCTCGAATGGGTTCCTGAGAAATGTTACTCCAAACATGAAAAACAGAGAAAAACCAAAGGCTCTCTAGCACTGCACAAGTACAACATCCGTGATTGACCCTCGATTCATTGTTGTTTGTTTTAACTTGTGATGTGTCATTTTGTAAAGCACTTTGAGCTGCATGTGTTGTAGGAAAAGTGCTATAAAAATAAAGCTTTATTATTTATTATTATCTGGCCTCTACTTACTTGATGGGAAGCCTCCACCAAAGAACATGTTGAAGAGGTCCTCAGGTGAGATGTCTGCTTCAAAATCACGATGTTGTCTCTGTCTGGTTGGGTTTGTTCTCTCTTCTCCATACTGGTCATACTGCTTTCGTTTGTCAGTGTTACTCAGCACGGCATAGGCATTGCCAATAGCTGCAAAAACACACAAAAAGGCCCCCACAAATGTGGACTTAAGTAAGCTCCGATTCACATGTCTTCTACAGAACAGCAAAGGAGATAACTTTTAAATTACCTTTAAATGCCTCTGTGGCTCCAGGTGCATGATTTTTATCTGGATGAAATTTCAGAGCCAGTTTTCTGTAAGCCTTTTTAAGATCCTCCTCAGAGGCGGCCTTTTCAACCCCCAGAATTTGGTAATAATCTTTACAGCTCTTAATCCTGCAGTACAGCAACAAAAACACCAACCAGAGAGATAGTTAGCAGATTGCAAGGGGAAAATGGAATCACACAAATATTAATAACACACAAAAACACTTTTCACACTATAAACAAAACATTTTAAACCATTTTGAAAAATAAAATTCAATCAGTTATTTCAACATTATTTCTGAGGATGCTGATTGCTCTTTAAAAACACAAGACAACTGTAGACTTACATTGAATAGTCAGAAAAAATAAAAAGAGCCATCTGAATATAATAAGTGTAATCCGGCTTTAGTTGTTGCCCTTGATTTTTGCCTCTTTTAATATTCTTATGTCACTGGTGGGGCTTAAATGCAAAAATACTATAACAAATATTCCAATCAATCCATTCCTTGTCTGAAAAAATATTTTGGATTTAGTTTTTCATGTGACTGCCATAACATTTATTGTTTCTACTAAAGGCAGTACTTAATAAATACATTAGACTTTTTCAGTTGAGTGTCATGAACAATAAGAGGCTCTAGCTACTTGTAAATCACACTTTTAGTGATTACATTTTTTATGAAAACACACTACACCTAAATAGGCTTTTCTCTAAGACTAAAATGTCACACTATTGAATGATGTAAAGGAACTGAGTAAAACATGTCCTGATGTCTTAATTTGATCAGCTCTAGTGTGTGGTTTGTACATTTAAACTAAGACAAAAGAACAGATCCACATTGCACTGACTTTCTCACAGCCTCCAGCTGATCTGCAGTGTATGGTTTGGCCGACTCTGAGGCCCCCCGGGCGGAGACATCGGGTTCCTCTCCGTGGCTGCGTTGCCTCATAGTGGGCCCGTCTCCGTTCACAGGACTGCCATTCTCATCTGGGGGCTTTCCATTCTGGGCTAGCGACTCCAATAAATCTGAAGGAAAAAAAAGTGGGGCAATATTATGTAAGGATGACACCCGAGTCTCGTTCATAATCAGATATCCACATTAACAGGGCCCGGTGCCCACAGTGACTATTATCCACCCCATAAACACATTACATGAATGCACATTTTAATACTGAAACCTGCACAACCCTTTGAACATGTTGCACATTTCTGCTCCATACTTCATATTTTTAAATGTGCACAGCTCTGCAGTTTCAATAGAGTATTTGTCACATTTTCTTTTACTGTACTCAGTTTCTTACATATTTATATTTTGTGTAAATATTGCCTTTATTTTTATATTGTTACAATAGCCTTTACAATAGTACAATTGTTTGCTTCTTTTCTATCTGTGACTTTGTATGCACCATTTAAACCAAAGCCAATTCCTCGTATGTGTAGACCTACTGATTCTGATCCTGATAATTCACTAGCACAGTTAGCTATCGGCTAGCACTGAAGCTGCTAACAAGGACAGCAATGATCTAAATACCCAGTGACAATAAGATCGTACACATCTAAGACAGTTAAGTAAACAAATAGGTTACATGGATCGCGGGTAGGGTCCTTAAAAACTACAAATATCAATTGTGGGAGCAGCTGGTGAAACGATATGACGGTTATGCTAACGTTAGCTGGTTTCACAGCGAAGCGATGGCCCACTAACCGACACCAACCACCGCCGTAACAGACGCTTATTCGACGTACTTTTTGCCTGATTGGTCGGAAACAGACGCTGGGCCTTCTCTAGAAACTTCCTGGCTTTATCCCTTTGGTTGTTGTTGACGGCATTTATGGCTATTTTTATGCACCGCTCCGCCTCGTCCTTGTTTGAGTCCATCGCGATGATCGCGACACAGCGGAAATGTTTACTTGCCCTGGGACGCACATAAATGACGCCGAGACGTTATCCGGCTCGTAAATAATACGTCATGGCAGTTTGAAACCACCAGCATGCACTTCATTAACGTCGGGCAGAAAGTACGTTTTTAATCTGCAATATTTAAGGTCAGATGTTTCTTTTGTTTTCTATATTTAGCTTCACTGGCTGTGGCCGTGTCACTAGCTGACAATTGAGGCACCCTACGACATTCACTTCTCTGAAAGTCAAAATGGCTCTAGCAGCTGCACAAACCAGGTCAGTCTTATTTATCAAACGCAAATATCTGCATGCTTTGAGGAAAACCTGCCTGTGGTTTTCAACGAATGACACAATTCTAGCTGATCAGAGGAAACCACCACCGAAAACACATTTGAGAAAAAGTCAAAAGAAGACTACTTTGACTGATCTGTCCTGGGAGGAAAGGCTGTCTGATGTGGTCACCCCTCTATGGAGGCTGAGTTATGATGAGCAACTTGAGCTCAAGCTAAAGCACCAGGAAAGGATCCTGTCTCAGCTGTCCGGGTATCTTTCAGGTGAACTACAATCACAGTCCTCATTACCTGTCAGAACCAAACTCAGCTTCCCTGTCTTGCCTGTTCTGCCGTCACCAGTTAGGGATGGTTACCGCAACAAGTCTACCTTTTCTGTTAACCGAGGAGTGGATGGAAATCCAAAGACGGTTGGATTCTACGTGGGCACAGGGAAGAAGGGAAACATTGTCTGCGTCAATGGAGACCACCTTCTCAACATGCCAGAGATGCACACAAGGGTGGCCAGATGTTATCAGGACTTTATCCGCCTCTCTTCTCTCGAGCCCTGCCTGCTGTTCCACACTGGGGGTCACTGGAGAGAGGTCACAGTGAGGACCAATGCAGAGGGCCACACCATGGCTATAGTGTACTTTCATCCACAGACGCTGACCCCAGAAGAGGTGGCGGTCCATAAGGCTGAGCTGCTGGATTACTTCACGCGAGGGCCGGGATCAGTCTGCCAGCTGCACTCACTGTTTTTCCAGGAGAGCGCTATGACTCGCTGTACTCATGAGCAATCACCCTACCAGCTCCTGCATGGTCAGCCACACATATACGAGGAGGTAATACAAGCCATAGGGCAACATTACATGGAATCCTTAAGTGACTTCACATCGCATACAGCAAACTTTGTAACATGCCAGCATTGCAACATAATAATTGTCCAACTGAAGCAGTACTTATTCTGGTACATTCTTGTGTTAATACATTTAGATTGACCTATAAGCACATGGTAATTTAACTGTATTAACATGTTTAAAGATGGTTATACTTTTACTCTGTTTCCTATTTTAATAGTTGCATTAAATGACAAAGACAGAAGTGTTTCACAAAATCAGCCAATCATCAGCAGTAAAAACAATAATGTTCAAAAGCACTCCAACGATTCAATAACAGACTTCCATAAAGTTGGGGGACTTGCACAAAAGGTCAAAATTGATGCAGCCCAAACCATGATATCCTGAATTGGGCCAAGTTCTGGAAACATTGGATCTTAATGTTTCCATAATGCAATGTGATAGCATTCTCAATTAAAACCTCCTCCCCCAGTGGATTCCCATGAGTTTCAGGCTATTTCTGTTTATTGTTATAATAGTCCTATAACTAAGAAATATTTTTTTATAATAATAGACAGAGGAAAATTGACATTACAAAATCCATGTATATATCTTCATTGTGTCTATTTTCCTAATTGCTGTTTTGTCTTTCACAGCTGCTGGGATTCAAATTCCGCATATCTGCCGATGCCTTTTTCCAGGTGAACCAGGCAGCAGCTGAGGTGCTGTATAGCACAGTGAGACAACTGTGTATCCCAAACCCAGAGGAAGGTAGGGAAAGGACACAATTTGGTGGTACTCTTCTGGATGTGTGCTGTGGGACAGGTGCCATTGGCATTATTACATCTCCCAGAGTGGACAGAATTATTGGTATAGAGCTCATAGAACAGGCAGTGGAAGATGCTCGACACAACGCAGCTCTCAATAATGTACTGAACTGTGAGTTTATCCCTGGGAAGGCTGAGGTGGCGCTTCCTGGAGTTATGTCACAGTTGAGCTCTGCAGGTGCAGGTGGAGGGCCTCTGGCAGCTGTGGTGAATCCTGCGCGAGCTGGCCTCCACTACCGAGTGGTACGAGCTTTACGAAACCAACCTAATATCCGCAGGCTGGTCTATGTGTCCTGCAAACCGGATGGGGATGCTATGAGGAACTTCAGGGAGCTTTGTTGTTCTCCTGACCCGATGAAGAAACTCACAGGAGAGGCATTTTCTCCAACTCTGGCTGTGCCTGTAGACATGTTCCCACACACTCCTCATTGTGAACTGGTGCTACTGTTTGAGAGGTAGCAGATGATTTAGTTCAGAGTTGAGCTTTAAACAAAACTAATTTCTTTGTAACTCTGATGTGGCATCAAGTAATAATTCACTGTATGCTAAATATAATGGCTTATCTTTAGCCACACACATTTTCACTTATTTTCTTGATTAGACCTTGTTTCAGGGCTGCAACAAATACTTAATTATTCTTTCGATAAATCTTTTAGGATATACAATATACTTACATTGAGTCCAGTATGATGCTTTCAAATTGCTTGTTTCGTCCACCAACAGTTCAAATATCATAGTATATTCAATTAACAATGATAAAGAAAAGAGAAAAATGGCAAATCCTCACATTTGAGCAGTTAGAGCCAGCAAATGTTGTTGCTGATTCTTTGGACAAATTCAAAAGGTCATTTAGTCTCCGAGTTTTGTGGAGATAGTGAAATGTAAGGCTTTACATGTAGAAGAGGCCATCTCCTATAGTGAACGCTACACCACAAACCCTGTCATGAGACCTGTGACCTCTCAAAAATAAAAGCCTCTGCAGATCAACTTATTTTCACTACATGAGCTAATTTTCTGTTATTTTAGATAGCGTACACCTTTTTTAATCTTATTGTTTTGTGTTGTACTGCACTGACAGATTGTCTTTTACTACAGCAGGTGAACAGGTGAAAGTTCACCTTGGATAAGATAAGATAAGAAGATGTACTTTATTGTTCCCAAATTGGAAAATGTTTTTGTCCCACCAGCACGTAAAACAAGGCATCGCACCTAATTAGAATATAAACAATTATAGAATCTCAAAATATAAAATTAAATGGAACTATAAAAGTTGACACTGAAGATACAAATCTGTGAACTATCTAACAAATAAAACACTAAGGGCCAAATTACAGCTGACACAATATTAAAGTAGGATATGATTTACATTACAGAGTTGAGTCAACCAATGTATTACACTGTGTTTATCCATTATAAACGTCACAAACCTAAAGGTGGCTGAAGAGTTGTTACAATGGATTCATAATTATGTGAAAGATGTTCATATTCTTTGTCCACATTTGAGTGATTCTCTTTGTCTGCCCTGCAGTAGCTGAATTTGTGCAACAGATGGCGCTATAACCACTTTTAGTAGCCATCCTATTTGGTGATATCCCATTCTATCCAGTTTACTAAAGGTCAATATCATAATGAGTGTAGTTTGAGTGGTCCACCTTTTTTCCAGAGAGTTTACCAGGGTGTATGTGAGTCAATACATTGCATCAGGACGTCCTTGGCTTTTAGATAGGATGTTTTTTGATCTCTTGGGTGAAGTCATGGGATGATGATGCTCATGAGGGGTTAGCGTGAAGCTGGGAAATGAACCTTTTTACACTGCCCAGGGTATAGGGTTTAAACAGGCACATACATGCCCTTATCATAGTCATGTTTACTAAATCTGCTCTTGCTTATTTTACCAAAAAAAAACAATACGTTTCTGCGGTTTATTGTATAAACAGCATGTGCTTAAGAAAAGTAAAATATATGTAATATGTTATACATAATAATAATCACATCTTTCAAAATGTCACACAAACATGTCATTTTTAATAAGAAGTTTCAACATATTATATCTTTGTCTTTTGATTTGGACATTTGAAAACACACTTTTGAACATATTGTACTTAAATTATACCAGTATTGCATCTGCATATGCCAGGGAATTCCCCCACTCTGAATTACCTGCAATGAAATGTACAAATGACACATCCATCGGTCCTTAGACTCTTGTCAGGTGCTGTGGGAATTCCCTTTTCTCTTGCCTTTGGACTTATCCTTCCATGCACCCATCTCCAAGAAAATACAGGGTGTGCTTCAGCCTTCACACCGTCAAGAAATGTACGGTGTACATCGTTTTTTTCCTTCACATTTCATAGCCATGTCTGATTAGACAGTACAATTGCCTTTACACTGCATATCTGTACTTGTTGGAAAACGTGACAAGATGCAAGTGGGAATAAGGGCAGAGCCAATGCAAATTTGTTGATGTCCACATCTGACTGAGACTGTCATTGCTGTATGACATAATGCTGTCAAATATACTTTGCCACGTTTGCAATGTTTCAACACACTAAGGAGAGATATTAAGATCGAGAGGTTGATTTGAAAGATTGAGAGGTTGATTTGAAAGATTGAGAAATGTTTTGGATCGCATACAAACAAACGTATGATAAGAATGTCTGGGGATTGAAAAAAAACGGAGGGTGGTTAACACAAGCAAACAACCAATAGGATACCCAGAACATGTGGCATCCATTTCCTCATCGACCAATTGCTTTAAAAGGACCTCAGAATATGCAATAAGAGATCCTCAGTAACCGGGGATCATCACCCAGTACGCATTACCGAACGCATTTCTCTCTTTTTCCTCAACACCCTCTTCACCCACATCTCCCCTGCACTCGGATCTCCTGCAGCTTTGTGTCTTCCTCTGTACTGAAAAACGCCTGTCGACTACACGGTAAGTAAGCGCAACATGAGCACGTAATTATCTCAAAAATAATTTGAATGGACATTTTTTGAAGAGACGCGGAGTGTCATGCAAATTGCAAGCGGTATTTGGCTAGTGGTATGGCAGATCCCCGCAGGGATAATTCGCAGACATATTGTAACTTCTGCCTACGCAGCATATTACTGCTGCGCCACTGGCTTATATCACGTCTTACATTCGTGTAATAACTTTGTTTTTGTCATTAAATCTATACACGACACGGTCTGATGCCCACTTTTATGTAGCTAACGTTAAACAAACTTTGTCTACCATAGGGTTAGCCCTGCTAGCTAGCCCCTAGAAAAGTTTAACATCCAGTTCCCTACAGGAAGTGGTTAGCGTTTAGTGTAGTTTTATCATAATTATGGCATTAACTCATGTTACAACTTGGACATAGTGAGCACAGTAGCATCTTTCGTTGCTACAAAAGTGTCGTGCCGTTTTTTAGACTTATAAACCACTGTAAAGCAAAGAGGTGTGTTTGTGTAATGTATGAAAGAGGAGTGTCCCTTTCTTTTTTTAATGCGCCACATGCGGGGTGAAAATATATCCAAATTGGCGTATCCCAAAGATTCGGCATGTGACACAAATGGGGAATTTGGTCGATGAAAAGTGGTTTCTTGTGAAACACGAACCATATTACAATCCTATCTGGGATGTGTCTGTGTGTATGCCGGTGGGAAGTGGTGTAACAGTTGAGCACGCGCTCACGTTAAATACCATTTGATATGAACCAGTTGAGCGGCTCACAAAACAGTGACAGCTCGCAGACTGCTGCATGTTCAAAGCCAGCCGCCGTATACCTCCCTCCCTGTTTCTCCATCCCACCGTACGCATTTAACAGATCTCTCTCTCTCTCTCTCTCTCTCTCTCTCTCTCTTCTGTGTGTGTTTTCCTGCTGCGCACTGTTGTTACAGAACCCCCTTTTTCAGCAAAGATGACCGAAACGGAAACCAGAACCCTTCACGATGTCAAGCAACAGAACGGAGCTGCTATGGCAGAAACGTCGGTGGAGGATGTTTTTGACGATACCTATAAAATGAAAGAGGGTCCAAAACCACCGAGGATGCTGGTGTGGAGAAATATCATCCTGATGACGCTCCTTCATCTAGGAGCGCTTTATGGACTGGTTCTCCTGCCTTCTGCCTCTGTTTCAACTGTCGCATGGAGTAAGTATTTACCATATTGTAAAAACAGGCTAAGCTACGCAGCATTTAGTTGTTTTTCTTTCGCCGTGTAGGCCACAGTCAGAACAGAATGTGCTGATGTTGTTAGATCATTGCTAACTACAATACATCCAGCCTGTGGGGGGGGGGTCATGCTTATGGGAATATTGTAGAATGAGTCAACCTGGCCTTGTCATTTTATTGTAAAAATCCATCTAAATGTATGTTGATTGTGCCCTCTATTTTTTTTTTAAGAACTCAAACCTGTGGCTGGTGGCAAACTAATTGGGATTGTTAGAATAGGTTGCATACTCAACTAGTATTTGAGTGTTAAAAGAAAAACTGTTAGCTGATTATTTACACTTTATGTTCTATATGTAGACTATTGAGGCATGACTTGGATTTCTGAACAGTCTCAACTTTGTTTCCACACTGCTACTGCATAATTTCCCCCTCTCTTTACAATGCTGAGCTGCATATTATTTCAGTGAGGAAGACAAAGCACAATCACCATTCCCATAGACATCCCATTGTGAGCAGTGTGGCACCACTACAGAATGCCAGTGAGAAGCCCCCGGGTCTCAAATCCTGCGTAGTCTTGTCTGTGCTTCACATAGAAACACATTGAGCCGTTTTAGAACAACAAAAGTCGGAGGGCCGACATGCACTGTCCCATCTCCCCATATACATGACTTTTCTCTGAACAAAGAGGCCAGGGTGTTATGGAAAGAACTTGGTGTCCCAGTGACTTCGCTCTCATGGGTGTAAAATGTATCTCAATGTAGCGATGACAGTTTCCCCTAAGATATGTGTCCTTTCCACCTCTCTTCCTTCCAGCTGCAGTGTGCTATCTCATCAGTGCTCTCGGTGTGACTGCCGGTGCACACAGACTATGGAGCCACAGATCCTATAAGGCTTCCTTTCCTCTGCGGGTCTTCCTCGCTCTCGGCAACTCCATGGCGTTTCAGGTAAAACAGGAATAAGTTCAAAAATAAGTTTAGATACGCCTAATTGATCCCCACGGGCAAATTTTCTGCAGCAACAACACAACTGGTTCTATGTGTATTCCATGTGTATTCACATGTATTAGTTGGCAAGTGCTACTTCCTCTTTTAAGTCAGCCTCCGCCCAAATAATGTGTTTTTGTTTTTGTCGGTTGATTGTGATTTTTTTTTTTTGCTTTGCTGCGCAGATGTGATGTGTGTTCGTTTGACACTTAAACTCAGTTTTCACATCCTTCTGCTAAAGTGGGAAAGTTTGTGTGGTAACCTTTTTTAAAATCTAAGTTTTATACATGGGTGTACAAACATGATTTTGTCATATGCATTTAACACACAAGTGTAATATGACATTTTTGGAAAAAACAACAACACAAAGCACTGTTTATATCAGAATGTTCACAGACACATGGTTTAACGGTTTCCTATAGCTGTAATAACGTTTTTTATATTCATTCGTTTTAGCTTTAACTATTAAAAATAAAGTAGCAATAGTAGGATTTCCATTTTGGAATGAAGCACTTTTAATGATTATACATGTATTGTTTTGTTACCACTGTTATCTCTGACCCTAATCTGATGATCTGATACCCTCCCCTGCATATCTATGCTTGCTTCACATAATCCTTTTCTATCTATCTTCTAATCTGTCTTTGCATGTCTCTTTGTGAGCAGAATGACATATATGAGTGGGCGAGGGACCACCGCGTCCACCACAAGTACTCAGAGACGGACGCAGACCCCCACAATGCCACGCGGGGGTTTTTCTTCTCCCACGTCGGTTGGCTGATGGTTCGCAAACATCCGGATGTCGTTGAGAAGGGGAAAAAGCTGGAGTTGTCTGACCTGAAGGCAGATAAGGTGGTGATGTTTCAGAGAAGGTGAGCAAACGGAACCCAGACTTATGTGGTTTACTGCCGTTCAAATGTAAAAGAAGCTCAAAGATGCAGAGTACATGGATACTAATTGTCATTAATGAGAGTCCACATGAAATCAGAACTACATTTTTGTTTCAGTCATCACCTGTTCAGAGATTTTCTCTCTGCAAAATGTGTTTTGCGCAAAATGAAATGCTACCTGACATACTTCCTTCAAAATATCTCTTAATCCATAAGATATAACAATGCCAATGCAAACCTGTCTACAAAACTTCCAGCACTTTATATCCGGAAATCCCCTTTTTTTTTCAAATGTCAAGTAATTCATGGTTGAAGTTATGGATATGAAACAAAATAGATACATATACGTGTATTTGCACGGTTTATTTAGAGTCTAGTTATTGAAACGGTTTCCCCTCTGGTCCAAGCTCGACAGGATGTTCTATTCTGGGTTGTATTGACCAAGACAACACTTGATATCCATGATCAGCTGATAAGGGATGCTTTTTGGACCACGGATCAAATCACAGCTTGCCCCCGTCTAGTCTTCTGGCACCGGACCCAGATTTGTTTATCTTCTGCTCTTAAGTTAATCATGTTTATAGTCTCTGTCATACCATTATAAGATAACATTTATGGGATTTATGGGATTTAAGAGTGTGTCATACCTGATGTATCATGTGACCTTTGCTATCAGATCAAAACCATTTTTAATGTTTGTTCACTCTAAAACGACTATTTAATATTTAAACATCGGTTTAATTTATTCTTAGATTCAACTATTGCCAAGTGATCTGTTAAAATGGTTTATTTATTTTTTATTCAGGCACTACAAGCTCTCTGTGGTGATTCTTTGCTTCGTCGTGCCCATGATGGTGCCCTGGTACTTCTGGGGTGAATCCTTGGTGTTGGCATATTT